AGGAGGAGGAAGAAGAAGAGGAGGAGGAGGAAGAGGAGAAGGAGGAGAACAACAATGGAGGACTAAGGGGTACCCAAGAATTAAGGAAGACTAAAGGGTTCCCAAAGCCTGGTTATTCTACAAAATGGATATCCATGCCTCTTTCAGAAACACTGCATGGAGAAAGTGTAACAGCAGGAGAGGTACAGTCGAGCTGAACTCCCTCTTGGGTAACCATGGGAAGTTGTTGAAAATTTATTATTCCAGGATATTGTGAAAAACAAGGAAGATGCTTATTTTCTGTGTGATGTCCCTTAGATCAGTAATTCTCAACCATGGGATATTTTACCCCTCAGGCGACATTTGACAATAAAGATGTTTTTGATAATCAGCGTGGGATGTGCTGCTGGCACCTAGAAGGTGGAGGCAGAAATGCTGCTGGACATCTGACATGCTTGGGACAGTCCCCAACATAGCTCAGAAGGATCTGAAGTGTCAGTCGTTCTGGGAAACCCTGCCCTGGGTGACCTTTGTCTGTGATGACTCAGAGACTGAGTCAAGTGGATTAATCATGTGAGCTGAGGGGCTTGGCTCTCCAGGCGGCGATTCTGGGCATGCCCGGGAGGAGGAACGTCTTCAGCAAACTTTACTCATGGCTGTGCAGCACAGGGACTAAGTCCTTAGAACCTGGGCCTGCTGGGCCTGAGTTCACATCCGAATCAGGCACTTATTAATTGGGTAACATTAACTAGCTTTCTCAAATCTTCTAAGCCTCATTTTTCTTGTCTGACAAATATATTTCTCTCATAGGATAATAATGGGACTAAAAGAGATAATGCATCAAAAATGCTAACTATGGTGCCTGGAGAAGAGCAAATACATAACCAATCATATCCCTTCCAATTAAGCTATTGTTAAAAACACAGACCTGTTGCACTGATCGCTTGATGGGTTCAGCTATATTCATAAACCCATGATGCTACCATTACTTTACTGATTACTCACTTGCTGAACAAATAGTATTTATAGTGTGGATACAGGGCAATGATAAGAAAGAGCACCATAATCTTTGCTCTTGATGAAGTTACAGTCCATGGAATGCTACTTGTAGCTCTAGCATCCTATTAGACACCTTTACATAGGGATCGGTGAATACATACCTTCAATCAATATGCTCCAACCAATTTCTTTCCATCTCCTCTAAGTCTCTCCCTTTTCTTCTTTACTTTCAAGCAATGATGTTCGTCTCTACTTAGTGACATTTGTCCAATCTCAGATCATCATTCATGCTTTTCTCACCGGTCAACTGCAAACCCAAACACTTCTCTTTCTGAACTGTCTCTTGCCTCCAGTTTTCTTGTTACCATGAGGTCCTGCCACTACCTTTGCTTTTCCTCACTCTATGCCTAGACTGTTGTGAAAGTCCTGTCATTGGTCTCCCACCCTCTGGCTGGTCTCCTCCAACTCATCCTCCACCATGCTTCTGAAGGATGGCTCCCAAATACTCCTCTGATCATATGACTCTTTAAAATCCTTTTGGGACTTCTCTCTGCCAACAGAATACAGCTGATGTTCTTTATCATGGCATCAAAGGAAAATCCTTTGCAATTAGGTCCCATTTCACATCTCAGTTTCATCTCCTTTCCCTTGATGTTACTCATTTCAAATTTAGGGACTTCTAATGCTCAGTTTCCCTTGTAGCCCTTGAACTCTAAGATTCTACGTTCATGTTTGTGTTACTCTCAGCCTGGACTTCCTTTCTGGACCTCCCCTCTTGCCCTTATAAAATTTTACTCATCCATCAATTTCCTTCTTTGAAAATGTGCCTAATAATTCGTGAAAGCCAGGTAGGTAGAACAAATCCTATGTCCTCCACACCCCACCTTCTGTTAGTGTACCTCCCTTTGGATGGGGTTAGAGTTTGTTATGGGCACCTCTGTCTCCACTTGGAAAACGTGAGTTCCTGAGATTAAGGAATTTTGTCTGTCTTTTTGTCCCAATCCCATGTGCCTAACATACTTTTGACACATAGTAGGGGTTTCACAAGGGTTTGTGGTAAGAGTCTTATTGTAAACATTTTTTTTTTAATTGTAAACATTTGATGATTTGTTAGTGTCACCAATGGTTACATGACAGTTGGGGTGCTGAACCTGCATTTGTTTTTGATCAAACTGAAGCTAATTTCTGAGTCTCATGCTGTCTCCTTAATTATTAATTCTTCTTGGTGCTGGCTATCAATTGACTTTTGTTCCTTTGGGCTAATTACTCTATGGCCTACATGCAAATACCATATCTGCCACTAGTGGGTTTGCTAGTCAATTTTCTGGGAAAAAAATTAAAAAAATCAGCCAGGGCAGCTGTTTGACTAAATTTATCTGATTGACCAAACTGACCCATGGTCTCAAAGGGAGCAGTGTCTTTGAGTGTGGCAATATAGCCCAGTTTTTCCTCAAAGCAATGAATGAAGGGCACATTGTGATCCCACAGTTGCACCACCCAACCAACCATAAGAGCCACTCACTTTTTCAACACAGCAATCTCATTCTCCAAGCTGCTGTCCCGGAAGGCAGGTGACTTCTTGATGCACTTCAGGGCAAAGAGCTTCCCAGTCACCCGTTGCTTCACCAGGAAAACTTCCGAAAATGCTCCTCTGAGAGGGGAAGAGGCCAAGAGATAAAACTTAGTTCTGAACGTCTAGAGAACATTCTGGAGGATATGTGATGGTATGACTTGAAAATGAGTCTCCATTGTCACGGTGGGCCTGGGCCAGCTGCATGGATGGCAGGACTACCTGACATGCCAGGCTACCTTTTCCTTCGTGGTTCATGTGGGAAGGAAAAGACCCCATTCCGGGCGTAGGCAGGGGCTTTTCCTGTTTCCATAACTGGGGGAAAGACTCTCCCTCAGCTGTGGCAGTTTCTCCACTAAGCAAGTCCATGAAAGAGAGGCCACTGCCGGGTCCATTCTCTTGCAAAAAGGTGCAGTGTGGCCCGTTGGAGTGGCAATGGTGGCAGCAACAGAGGAAAGACTCAGACACAGTGGGGCGGGGAAGACCAATGTATCCATTTTAGATGGTGATAATCTCTGAGAACCAGACGGCTGAGCACCTTCTCATTCATTCAGTGGGTTCTACAAGGACTAAAGACACAGCCCTGCAGCTTCTGGGGCAGACCCTGAAAACAGCAGATGGATCCCAAAGAGAAAACAGGGTAGGATTCCAAATTGCAGGCTTCTTCATTTGCAGGAGATCTTCTAGAGACCCAGCAGGTAAAGGGACAGGGATGTGGCTCCGTGGTATGGTGCTTGCTTAGCACACAGGAGGCCCTAGGTTCGATCCCCAGCACCATGAAGAAGAACAGTAGCTAAGCTGAGGGTGGATACTGGAGCCTGATTGTCCATGTTAGAATCTCAGGTTTGGGGGCAGCTTATTACTTAACTTCTATATTTAGTTTCCTCATCTGAAAAGTGGAAACATTGTTAGACCCTGATCTGTAAGGTTGGTTGTATAGAAGATTAAATAAATTAAATATGTAAGGTGGTTAGCAGCATTTCTGACATCTATTAAAGCCATATGTATTAGCCAGGCATGGTGGTGCAGCTTGTAACCCCAGTGACTTGAGAGGCTGAGTCAGGAGGATCTCAAGTTTGAGGACAAACTGGGCAATGATGTGAGACCCTATCTCAAAAAATAAAAAGGGCTGGGGGTGGGTGGTGTAACTCAGTGGCACAGTGCTCCTGGGTGTAATCCCCAGTACCCAAAACCCAAACCCAAACTCCATATGTGTTGGATACTATAATTATTCTTAATTTGAATAAAATCATGGAGAATACCTAACTATGCAAGAGGAATGGAATGTAAATGAGGGAAGAGCTGAGCCACCGTCTCCCCTGCCATCTGGGAATCCTGGAATGAAGGCCCAGCCACAGTCAAGCTTTCGAAAGGACTTTGAAAACCTGCATTGGAAAAATACGTGGCACTTCCTGTGTCTGGTTCCTGCTCCTTTGCTGCACAGAGCTCATTTGAGCTTCAGGGCTTGCTTGTGCATTCATTCATTTGCTTATCCCTTCAGCCGAGATTTATTGAGCACCTACTGAGTCTTAAATACTGGAGATAAAAAAAAAATGGAGATTCCCATTCATATGGGGTCTATAGACCAGCAAGGAGCACAGACAAGTAAGCAATTCACATTCAGTTTGAAAAAAGGCTATCAGGCGTTCAGTGAATCCTCCTCTAACTGATGAAAGCTCTGTGAGCGAGAATCTAGTATGAGAAAGACACACATGCACATACGGATGACATATTATGAGACCACAGAAAACCTGTACTTAACATGGTATCCTGTGGGCAGTGGTTGGGCAGGTTGTGCCCAATTTCAACAGGTGCTATTCACCTTGTGGCCCGTATATATGCTCACAGGATAATTATTACAATATTTTCCTCCCAGAAGACAGAAGGAGTGCTGGGGAAGGGGCACCTTTGTCTTAATTTGTTCAAAATGACCCATTGGGATAGCCAAGGAGCACATAATATATCACCTCCGATTTAAGAATAATCTGAGCTCAGTTTTAAGGGATAAATGAACCTAGTGGGGGAGTGGGGAAGAGTTGGAAGTGTTTCAGGCGGGAGTGGAGAGGAAGCATGAGAGAAAGTGTGGAGGGGCTGGAGGTGTAGCTTGCCTGATTCCCTTCTAGCATTGGCTGAGGGGTGGAGGGACCATGGAGGTGAGGAATGGCACCATCTGTGAAGTCTGAGGCAGGGTATGACGGAAGGTGAATGAGGATGGCACCAGGCCCCATGGCTGGTTGGGTATAGAAAATGCTCAATAAATACTTGCTGAAGGAATGGATGGTTTAGTGCATGGAGGGCAAGTTGGGATCAGGAAAGGATTAGTTGTGTGTTTTCATCTTAGACTCCATTTTCCTAATCTATAAAATGACAATTGAGCTACTCGGCATTAAAGATTTCTTCCCCCTGTGACATACTAGAATCCACCTTCAGAGTCCTATCTATCAACCCGAACCTCTGGAACCACACATGGATGGTCCCCTGATTTCAGAGCTGGGGCTTGCTGGGGAATGGCATTAAATAAGGGCCTTCAGTATGCCCAAACCCGAGGGTACCATCCACATGGCACCATCTGCATGTGGGGCCACCTGGAGTTTTGTGGTATTATGGCAATTTGAGAGTGTGTTACTGTTGTTCTGTCTCAGGCTGCTTTAGTCCTGCAGGTGGCTCCATTGAGGTGGGGTGAGGCATAGAAAGAGGACTAGAGGGCTTTACCCTGCCACTGCCAGGGTGGGAGCAGAGAACTAGTTTTGAGCAGTCAAGATTGCCTGTGTCAGAAGGTAAAACAGGCAGGCGATGTAGACAGAGAAGATGCAGAAGAGGTGACATGTCATGGTATTTGCAACTTGTTTATAAATAGTTCAGAGAAATATGTGTGTGTATAAAACAAATGCATCCCTGAGCATCCATGGGGCACTGGTTCCAGGACCCTTTAGGATACCAAAATCTGTAAATGGTCAAGTCCCTTCTATACAATGTTGCAGTTTTTGCCTGAAGCTTATGCATACCCTCCTGTAGACTTTAAATAATCTCCAGATTACTTATAATATCCAATGCAATGTAAATTCTATGTAAATTGTTGTTATAATATATTGTTTAGGGAATAATAATGGGGAAAAATCTGAACAGATTTTTTCGGTACAGATGAGAGTTATTTTCTGAATTTTTTTTTTTGATCCGCTGTTGCTTGGATCTGCACACGTGGAACCGGAGAATACAGGGGATCCACTTGTATAAGGAAATGTCAACAACTGTTGGATTTAGGTGGTGGGTATATTGATGTTCACTTCACCTTTTCTTTCTGTTCAAACATATTCACAGTTAAAAGCTGGAGTGATAAGCTCTCAGATGACCCCAGTGTCCCTCGCGGTTTAGCTGTTTCTACAGTAGACCTGTTGAGCTCCTGGGGGGGGGGGCACATCTATCTTCTGACAGTCCCTCAGCACAAGTTTATAGCAGACGTGGATAAACTCTCCTCAACCTGGCCTTCCTTCTCCCCGTTTCCCTCCATCTGGGGATGCTTAACAAATCATTTCTGATTCACTCATGAGCCTTGTCCCTCTCTCCTGCCAAAACCCCCTCTCTCTAGCTAACTGTGTCTTGGCAAGGGCCCCTGATGGAAGGCCGGCACTCTGATGACCAGCACCACTGCTGAGAAGATCCTCAGCAGTGTGGCAGAACCTGGCAATCTGTGCCAGGAAGACCCAGAGGGCTCTTCTTGGCTATGCCTGGCTCCTCTCTGCAGCGAGAGCGAGGGCATCCGTCCTCATCTGCTGTCTCCTAGCCAGGGCAGAGTGCAGCACACTGGGCCAGGACTGGCTAAAGGGAGAGCTTGCCCCATGAACACTCCTCCCTGCCCAGGCCCAATTAGCCCCGGCTAATTAGCTGACCAGCTGGGCCTCTGAAGAGGTGGGGGCCCATGGCCCCAAGCTGCTGCCTGCCTGCGTCAGAGACTGCAGCCTCCTGGGGGAGAGGCACGACTAAGTGGAGAGTCAGCTCCAGAGAAGCCGTCTGGCGACTGCCAGCTCCGTGATCCTCGTCAAGGGGCAAGCACAGGCGCCTGCGGGCTGGTAGGAGTTTGGACAGTGGCAAAGCCCAAGCACTGAAACACAGAGAAGAGAGGAGGCGGGGGCCGCTTCCGGTGTGTGTGGCCCACACCTCTCTAGTCTCAGAAGCTCCAGATCGTGCAGTGAGATTGGCTTGATCACTGATGGGGGAAATGAGGAGTCCCCGGAAAGTTCTAGGATCACTGAATCTCCAGAAGTGCTCCCCAATTCCTCTTTTGCCAAGGAGAGAGGGAGATCTCTGGGTGTAGCTCAGAGGGAGGTAGAACCTGAGGGAAAGGGGCTGGTGATCCCTGAGGACTCCAGGGCACTAAGTCATCCCAGGTCTTAAACAAACCTTTCCCTCATGCCACTCGCCCACCCCCAGGCCACAAAACTCCCCCTAGGCCCCTTAGAGTCACAGAAGCCTCAGTCCAGTTCACCCATTGCTGCTACCAGAACAGCTCCCCCCAGCACCTCCCCAAGCCCTCCCGGGGCTCCCACTCCCCAGGACTTACGACCCGAGCACTTCCATGAAGATGAAGGTCTTCCGGATGTTGGTGGTCTGTTTCTTCCAGGAACTGCAGTCATCTTCTTCCTTTCGACCCATCGCCTCCAGAGTTGAAGCTTCTGGGGATGCTTTGTTGGAGGGAGGGAGAAAGGGAAAATATTCTGATCAACTCATTTCTCAAATAAGATGGGAACAGGTTGCAAAAGAACCTAAAATACATCCTTTATGTAATGGCCAGAAGGAAGGGTTGAGAGCAAAACATGGATCATTGACAAAAATAAGAGTATTCTCCCCATTGGTTTTTAAAAAC